TAGTGAATGATGTCCCTAATTGCTAACTGAAAGACATATGACATGATCTAAGCGTTGCGCTAGTCACTGAATGCTATTCTGATAGGCAACAATGAGTAGGAATTCAAGCGTGTTGTAATGTTGCTGTAGTGATAGGATCCATATGGTTGAGTGTACAATCGGCTCAGTGCAAGCAATAAAAACAAGAGGGGCGTTATGTATAATTCGTCACCTGAAAAGTGGGTACTCTAAAAAATGCACCATATCATAAGCCCCCACCCGTATTAACCACCCATGGACTGACTATTCCGACGGGTGATATATACGGGGGATTACGGTAAGTCAGTCAGCAAAAAAGTCAGCCAGCGGAGCTCCTGTACCGCCATGGCACCAGCATAGATCTTAGCCTCAAAGCTAGACTGGGCAACAGACGACGAGCGAGTGGACCTCCACGAGATGGCGCCTGCACCAAGGCTAAAGCAGTAGCCCTGGGAGGGCCTGAGCGTCTCACTATCGTCTGTCCACGAAGCGTCTGTGTGCCCTGTAAGGACCACTGGCCTGCATCCTCCTAGCACTAGCCCCATGCCCAATGTACTTGCTAGATAACGCAAAACCCTCTTAGCGGCTGACTAGTGCTGTGGCCGGTGTCCGCCTGTGGCCACAAAGCGAGCTAGGATGCTGAGAGGGTATGCAAGATCTGGACGAGTGCAAGTTGTCAAATACAGGAGGCAACCCACCAGCTCAGCGTAAGGACCATTAGGCTCGATAGAATCCTCAGGGTCTGGAGCCGAGAGCCTGTAATCTACTGGCAAAGGTGTGGGTTGTGCGGAGGAGAATTTAAAACCGAACCTCTGAAGGACCTGGCGCACCAAGTGTGACTGTGTGAGAGTGATGGTGCGCGCTGCTCTGTCCCTGGAGATCTGCAGCCCAAGGTAGCGGCGCAGCTCTCCTAGGTCCGTGCAGGTGTGTTTTCTCAGCAGCTCAACCTTCACGGAGGCCAATGCATCTCTGTCTGTAGTAGCGAAGACTAGGTCGTCTATGTATTCAAGGATATAGAACAGGGTCTGGTCAGAACGAACAACAAGCGAGGGGTTTGCAAACGATGGGAAGAACTGCAGGTCAGCTGATGTAGCATGCAGCGTGTCGTGCCACTCATGGAGCACCTGCCACAGGCCGTAAACTAGGCGCCGGAGGACCCACTCGGTACCAGGGGCGAAGGTGCTGCTGAAGACGGGCGGACGGCGCAGGTAGACTTGCTCGTGCAGACTGCCCTGGAGAAATGCTGTGGAGAAGTCGAGGGAGTTCAACTTGTATTCAAGCTGTGCTGCTACGTGTAGCAACGGCTGAAGAGTGGTCATCTTCGGGGTCAGGGCTAAGGTATGAAAGAAGTCAACACCCTCGCGCTGACTAAAGCCTCAAGCAACGAAGCACGCCTTGAAAACTGGCGGCTCTCCAGGAGGGCGCTTTACTTTGAAGAGCCACCGGCCATCGACTATGTTCAACCCAAGTGGGAGAACTGCGTCAACGTAGATGCCTGTGGATCTCCTAGATGCCATCTCTGCGTCCATGGCAGCTATCCACTGAAAGGCCCAGGGTCTCGAGGTCGCCTCAGCGTAAGTACGAGGGGGCGGGATGTTAAGGGAGTCTAGGTCGCCCTCAGGGACTAGCAGCATGGAGTAGAGATGAGGAGCGGCCTCGGATAGGAAAGCGAGCTCGTACTGCCTGTCCTCTAGAACGTTAGTGCCAAGGGTAGGTGCACCCCCGACAGACGGAGGACGGGCAGGGTCAGAAATTAGAGTGGTGGCATAGTCAAGGCGGAGGGTAGAGGCAACGTCAGGAATGGCAGTGACAAGAGTGTCAAGACTGGAGACAGGAACAGATGGGTCGGTAACAAGAGAAGCAAGAACATGACGGACAAGCAGACTAGTGGCACGGAGGAAGTCAGAGAGAGGTGGAGGGGAGACAACAAGCGATGACTGAGGAGGCAACGGTAGAAGGGGAGCATGAGATGCGTGAGAACAGAGCAACATAGGGTGAGAGCGCTGAACAGGAGAGACAGGACGAGCACGAGAGGCACGGTGAGATCACCAGTGGGAGGGGGGGTTCGGGTCAGGAGACAAGGGAGGAGACACAGCAGGAGAACGAAGGGGGAAACGAGTCGGGGACAAGTCCGGAGGAGGAAACACAGGGCCGTAGACAGGCGGGGGAGGCACCGATGGGGGAGGCGTAAGCGGGCGGTCGGGGAAAGGAAGATCGAGGAGGTGAAGGGCGGACACTGGCAGCGTCTGCTGATGCTGCTTCTCCATGCTGACATCAGAACCTCCAGCTGTACCACGACTACCTCTGAGATGCTCCACGCCAACACCCCCGAAACGAAAAACCTCTCCAGCCCCCCGCCACCCCCAGGACCGCCGAGACAAGCCACGTCAGGTTCCCTAGGACGAGCACCCCCAGAACCAGCACCCCCAGAACAAGCACCCTCCTCAACGCCCGCACCCCCAGAGCTCTCGAAACCCCTGCGGCAGCAGCGGCTGCTGCTGCGGCGGCGACTGCGACTACGGCTGCGATGGCGGAGGAGGAGCAACCAAGGCGAAGATAGGTGGCAAACCCGAAGCCCCAGGGCCCCCAAAGTCAGCCGACTCCTCCACTGGGATGACCGACGGGAGGGGAGTGACGTGAGACAGACCAGCCGGGACACGACGGGGAGGGAGAGGAGCAGGTGCTACCGGGGGAGTGGGGACCAAGAACAGGGGTAGGGCAATCGGGAGACCTTGGTGAGAAAAGCGGGTGTAGATGGAGCCAGACTCATCAAGAGTGATGTCGGTGAGAGAGCTGGTGGTAAAAGTGCCAGTCGCACATGTCTAGGGGGAAGCCAAGGAAGACATAGAGGACAGTGCGGGCAGTGAGCTTGTTCGTGCCAGAGGGACGAACGTGAGCGAGGCAGACCCAGATGTGGAACGCAAACGCGTCACCACGGGACCCGGTCTAGAGAAGGGTTGGCACAACGTGCGGCTACTGGAAGTGTGGCCACAGGTTAAGCTGGTGAGCGGCGTAGCGAACAGCGAACGGCCACAGAAAATGGGGTGCACCGAAACGGTTCATGGAGGTACGAGCCACCTCCATCACCAAACCGATGCGTCACTCAGTGACCCCATTCTGCTGCGGGGAGTCCGGCAGGGTGTACGACAGATTGATGCCCTCCGCATGACAGAACTGGCCAAGCCGACCGGAGGCAAAGTCACCGCGATGGTCGGAGTGAAGACGCAGCTTAGGGAGGCCGCGGTGGACTCGTGCAGCTACGACCAACGAGATAAGAACGTGAGGCACGTCGACCTTCTGCTCCAGGGGAAACACCGTGGTGTAGCGCGTGTAGTCGTCGCCGAGTACGAGAAAGTAGCGCACTCGACACGGCCCAGGGACAGGGGCTGGGCTTGTGACGTCTAGGTGCAGGGTCTGCAGTGGCGCAGTGGTGAGGGGAATCAAGAAGGAGTGAGGGACATGGCGCAGCCGGCCCTCGGTGCAAGGTATAAACGGCGGTGGAGGCAAGGGAGGGAGGGCAGGGAGCGACGCAGGGAGACCTAAGACAAGACCATGCAAGGACATGTGGCGCTGACGTGGGAGTGCGGGGTGACCCACGCAATGGTGCCACAGCAGTGACGTGTGGGTGAGCGACAGACACGAGCAAGGTGCAATGACCTGGGAGGGTGCGACAACCTGGGGGGACGCTCCCACCGGGTTCGCGGTGCAGACTGTGTACTGCTCGTGTCCAGGAAACGTAGTGGTGACGCCGAGGTCTTGAAGATAGTCGACACCAACTAGGTTCCTGGAGAACGAGGGGACGTGCAAGCCTGTAAGGGAGCCCGAGGGAACCGCCAACGAGGGAAGGGTGGTGGAGCTACGTGCAACTACCGACATAAGGAGGGGTCAGCAAGCGCTACAGCGGAAGGTGTTAGAAATACATTGCAAATCCCACTTTCGTATTTGTACTTTTATATCCTAGTTTAGGTTAGGAATTTTGTAGTGGGTTGGGGTGTACTCACAAAATCCCAACCTCACCCAATTATGATCCCCCCAATCTCCAATTACCCAATTATAGATTCCGGGGATCCCAGAGGGGATTCCCTCCGATTCCCCCTTCATCCATTCTCTCTCACCATGCAATGTACTTATAGAGCCTAGGGCTCCTTACCTAATCAATCCTTTCAGCTCTATTGCTTACATGGTATCAGAGCGACCTATGTGCATACGTGGATCAAGGTCCTAATCTTAGCGTGCCCGCGCTACGCGCACGTCATCGTCGCGACACTCGTCTCGAGTCGTCGGAATTTTTGACGTACTCCACTCTGCATTCGCGCCTCTCATCATCGACCGCCTTCGCGCTCGACCTCGTTGAATTTCTCATCTCGAAAGCTTTCACGCTTCTCATCATCGATTTCCTTCTCGGTTCTCTTTGGTCGAATCTCAATTTCGACCATCTCTTGAAACTCGTTTTCGAGTTTCCCCTCAAACCCCGCCAGAATAGGCGAACTCCCCTCGCGGAATCGCCTCCATGAACGTCTCGCGTCAAGCAAGAGCACGTACACAGGTTCTCAACCACTTCACTTGCCAACCCGATCCCACTCCTTCGTCTCGAGCCGGACGGTACATGCTCCAACTACAAGTCTTGGCGCTATGGTGTCGACAAGCACCTCCTCAGTCGCGAGGTGAAGGGACTCGAGCTCACCGACGTCCTTCTCAACATCGGTGACGGCAAAGAGCCTCCTAAACCCGAGAGGTCCGCCGATCCAGCTAATGCCGCCACCGGAGCAGTTTATGCTGCTGCACTGCTCAAGTACAAGAATTGGGAGAAGGCCGATGGTGCGGTCATTAGTGTCTTCATGGGCACCACTCCTACCGAACTCGTCGAAATCTACCACGATTACCCGTCTGCCAACGCCATTTGGCTCTACCTCGAAGACCACTTCCTGAACAAGACTACAGTGGGAGTTGATATACTCATCCCAAGCATGTTCCAAGTGCAGTTCGAGGACTCGCCAAGCATGGCGGACTATGTCACCAAGGTGCAGTCCATTCATAATGAACTCAAGCAGTTGGGGATAGTCTTTTCCGAGCAAGGCCCGGCAGCCGCTCTCATAGTCAGCCTCACTCCAGCATACAAGGTCACACGCAAGATGCTCTTGGGCCTTGCTCCTGCGGACCTCACATTTGCGAAGGTCTCGTCCGCGCTCCTTTCTGCCGAAAAGGACAACAGCGCTCAAGCCAAGGCCAATGCAATCCGTGCTTCCGTGCCTCAGGCCTCTGCCGCTTTCGCACCATTCCAATGCAACCGCTTCCCCCCGTGTCCCTATGTCATCAAGCATGGCCCTCGTGCTAGTCAAGTGTGTGGCGGCACCAACCACGCCCAACAAAAACGGATTTGTGAACAGGACAAAGCACATCTCATTTCGTTACTTCTTTATGAAGGACAAGATCGAGTAGGGCCGCCTCCAATTGGTCTATTGCTCCACCACTGAAATGGCAGCCGACTACTTGACCAAGAAGCTGATGAAGGCCAAGTTCTAGTACTGCATACTTCTGACTAGACTACAACACGTCAGCAACCTCGACCACATCGACACTCCATAAATGAAGGAGGGTGTTGGAAATGATAAAAGGACTTAGCATTTCCGGAGTCTCGTGTGAATGTACGAATACACGAAGACTACAACAACGAGGATTACAGAGTCAACATCGCTACAACAGTTGACATGTGTTAACTACACCCCACAGAGGTTACGAAAGGGCAACGAATACACCCCAACAGTCAGAATCGCAAGAGTCAAGGGTCAGCGCGACAGTAAGGACAAATAGCCACCCCGTATTATAGTACGGGTGGTTACCCGAGTCACCTTATCGATTCGCAAAAGGGAATGTACCCCTCGAAGTGCAAAACTGTTAGACTCTTCATATTCTCTTGTATTATTATATAAACCTTGTATCCCTTAACAAACTGAAAGAATGACTAGAATGTGAGAGTATAAGGCATTATAACCTAGGGGGTTGTACTCTCTAAGGCACAACCTTATATGGTCTATAGCATCACACACAAATGTGTTTGACACACCCCCTAGACTGGATAAGGACAGTGTCTGTTGATAGACAAGCAGCTCAGGGTGGCACTACTAGTTCAACCTCTGAGGCAAGGGTCTAAAGACCAGTCAAACATGTACAAACCAAGGCAAGAACAAGACCAGGGCGGCACAACTAGTCCAGCCACTGGGAGAGGCCACAAGGCCAGTCAGGGTAAAATATATATAAAGGTCTGTACATAATCAAGGCCCTAGCAAGTGAGAGGCTACAAGAACGAGACCTAGCTGTACACAATACCACTGATGATCTTTAGGTGCAAGCGCCTTCGTAAATATATCAGCTGTGTTGGCACCAGAGGCCAAGTGTACTACGCGAGCCTGGCGGCGCTGCTGTAGCTCGCGCAGGAGGAAGTACCGCAGCTGGATGGGCTTCCCTGCCCTCAAGTCGAGGCTCCTGACACAGGAGGATCATGGCCCTGTTGTCAGCAAATAGAACCGGGGCAGACCTAGGCTGCTCACCAAAGTGAGTGAGCAAGAATGACAGCCAGCGCAGCTCCTAAGCGGCGATGGCCCTAGCGTAGATCTATGACTCACAACTGGAAAGAGCTACAAACGACGACATAATGCACCTCCACGAAACTGCACCAGCACCAAGACTAAAATGGTAGCTCTGAGACGACATGAGCATCTCCAAGTCGTCCGCCCACGACAGGTCTGTGTGTTCAGTGAGCACCACTGGCTCCCATCCTCCTAGCACAAAACCCCAGTCCTGATGTACTCGTTAGATACCGCAGTACCCTCTTGGCAGCCGACCAGTGGATTGGTCAGTGCCTGCCTGCTGCTTCAAAGCGAGTAAGCAGACTGAGAGGGTATGCTAGATCTGGTCGAGTGCAGGTTATCAGGTACATGAGGCAACCCACCAGCTCTGCGTATGGACCACTGGCCTCTACCAGCTCAGCCGGAACAGGAGTAGAAAGCTTGTGATCCACAGGCGGAGGGATGGGCTGTGCTGAGGAGAACTAGAGTCTGAACCACTGGAGGATCTGCTGCACCATATTGGACCGGGAGAGTATGATCATGCAAGCGACACGATCACGAGAGATCTCCAAGCCCAAATAGCGCCTCAACTCCCCCGGGACTGCCTCCTAAGTAACTCGGCCTTCACTAAGGCCAGTGCATCTCTGTGAACAATAACAAAGATAAGATCGTCTACGTACACTAGTATGTAGAGTGGGGTCTGACCCATGCGAACAAGGAGAGAAGTTTCAGCAGAGGATGGAAGGAACTACAGATCAGCAAGTGTGGTGCGAAGTGTATCGTGCCACTCACGGGGTGCCTGACGAAAGCCATAGATAGGGTAGCACAGGCTCCACTGGGTCCCCGGTGGGAAGGACCCAGAGAAGCCTAGAGGGAACCGGAGGTAGATCTGCTCATGCAGACAACCATGCAAGAAGGCTATGAAGAAGTCAAGTGAGTGAAGCTCATAGTCACGTTGCGAGGCTAGGTGGAGGAGCACCCAAAGAGTAGTCATCTTCGGGGTACGGGAGAATGTCTGGAAGAAGTCCACACCCTCTCGCTGACTGGAGCCTCTAGCTATGTAACGCGCCTTGAACTTCGGCGGCTCTCCAGGTGCGCGCTTCACCCAGTATATCCACATGCCATCGACTACGTTTGCCCCAGGCGGGGGAATTGCGTTGACGTAAATGCCTGTGGATCTGTAGGATGCCATCTCAACCTCCATGGCCTGTATCCACTGGGCTGCCCAGGGCCTCGACACCACCTCAGCGTAAGAGCACGCGATAGGGATGTCAAGGGCGTCTGGATCGCCCTTTGGGGATAAAAGCATGAAGCAGAGATGGGGTACAGCGGCAGCCAGGTAGGCCAGCTCTTATTTTCTGTCCTCTAGTATATCATTGCCAAGGGCAGGTGCACCCCCGACGGATGGAGACCCGGCAGTACTAGAGACCATAGCGGCAGCATAGTCAAGGCAGTGGCTATTAGTGCAGTCAACGAGAGCAACAACAAGCGCAGAGAATGTTTCAGGAGGAGCAGTAGGGTCTGTGACAAGCGATGCAAACAAGCGAGAGGTGGTAGGATGAGCAGTGCAAGCGGAGTGAAAGGGAGGAGCAGAGGTCTGTGGGAGCGATGCCGGAGGAGGTAACGGAAGCGCGGGGACTGGAGGAAAACGAGAACATGGGACCATAGGGTGGACACTAGCACGAGGAGAGAGAGGACGGGCACTAGAGGGACGACGGACTCAGTGAGGAAGAAGAGGTGACTGGGGACAAGGGGGGGAGTGGGACAGGACAGTTGATGGAGGAGAGCATGGAGGGAAACAGCACGACGTAAACAAGGTCATGCACTGGAGGAGGGTCGCGCGATCTATCAGGAGAACCGGAGGAAAGACCAAGGAGACGAAGAGCATACTGTGGCTGCTGCTGCTCCCTGTCCTCTCCAGGGCCTCCAGCTCCACTATGCCTACAACCGGTACTCTCAAGAACAGCACCTCTAGGTCTAGCACCACCCATAGAGCCGGCACCCCCAGAACCAGCACCCCTAGAGCCAGCACCCCCAAAGCCAGCAACCCCAGAGCCCACTGCCCCCTGCTGCTGCTGCTGCTGCTACACCCGCTGAGTCTGCGGCGGCGGCTGCAGCTGCTGCTGATGAAAGGGGGGAGTATACTGCGGAGTCTAGGGTACCGGAGCTGGGGGAAGCGCCACAAGCACAGCAAGCGTGCCCCTAGCCGCTGGGCCTCCAGACTCAGCAGACTCCCCCTCGGGCCCGAGCGAGGGGAACGGAGTGGCATGAGAGACACCAGATGGGGCCAGTCTTGGTGGGAGGGGTGAGGCATGCGGAACTAGGACGAGAAAGAGAGAGGAGGAGGAACAGAAGCACTGCGGTGCGGGAAGCGCCAGTAGCAAGGGAGCGTCTCGTCGAAGGTCTCGTCACAAGAATTGTAGAAGCGGTGGTTAAACAGCCAGTCAGGGCCGTCGAGCGGAAACCCCAGGAAGACACAAGGAAGGGTGCGGGATGAGAGCTTGTCCGCGCGAGCATCGCGGACGTGAGCAAGGCTGCCCCAGACGTGAAACGCAGATGCGTCACCAGGAGACCCGGTCTAGAGAATGGCGGCAAAACGTGCGGCCGCTGGGAGCGCGGCCACAGGTTAAGCTGGTGAGCAGCATAGCGCATCGTAAACGGCCACAGAAAATTGGGTGCACTAACGTGGACCATGGAGGGGCGAGCTGCCTCCATGACCAGGCTGATGCATCGCTCATTGACCCTTTAGGGAGTTCGGCAGTGTGTACGTCAGGCGAATGCTCTCCGCACGGCAGTTCAATCAAAGTTCAAGAATCTCACAAGGAATTAGAGGAGCAAGAGAAAGGTTGGGATAGAAAGAGAGGGACGACAGGGAAGGTCCCAAGAGAATCCCCAACCAAGGAAACCCCATAAGCACAAAGATTCCCCCCCTATAGGAACCCCAACTTTGACATTTGTCCCTTCCCAACCAATCCATCCAAGTTGGCCACCCTTGCCAACCTAGCTTGGTTGTTCCCAACCAATTTGCAGCTGTTACAGTAGAGTGACGAATTTCCCCAACCCCAAAGGTCCCAACTCCATATAGAGTCACCCCACAACTTCACTTTGTAACCGCCGCAATTGTAACGCAAGCTCATGAACTTTGAATCTTCATAGCTTTCGCGTTCTTGCTCCGATTGAAGCGATTCTTGTTGCGTCGAAAAGATCTTCTCAAGATCTATCATCACAAATACCTGCTCAGACAGAATAATACAAAACACATTCCCAAACTCCAGAACACACACCACACAAATTCTTTCACACGCAGTCAAACCATACATGTGAATTGAAACAAGGGATGGGAGGCAGACAGAATGTGATAGCATATGATGACATCACACAACACTCCTCTCCCCCCACCTCCCCTTCCCTCACCTCTTTTGACCTCAACCCCTCTCCCCTCACCTCCTTCCCCCTCATCTCCAATCCACTCATTTGCTTTCACCACGCCATCACCTCCTCCGCCGGTTTCCGCCGTATCTCAAACCCGCCCAGAGATGCTCTAGACTCCGTACCATACACGCCGCACTCCCATTCCGCCCGCAATTCATGCCTCGATCCTGATTCGCGGTACTAGCTATGCCTCACTCATAGAGGGAGAGTGTGCAAGAGTGAGAAAGAGGCATGCGAGGGAGAGGAAACAGAGTGGAGAGGGGCATCGAGTGAGATTCGGAAAGAGAGGGAGGGATAGAGGAAGGAAGCAAGGGAGGGAGGGAGTGATTGGGCGGATAGGAGCGTGGGGAGAGGCGTAGAGAGGGGGGAAGGGGAGACAGGAGCGTGGGGAGAGGCATAGAGGGGGGGAAGGGCGGTTAGGAGCGTGGGGAGAGGCGTAGAGGGGGGGAAGGGCGGTTAGGAGCGTGGGGAGAGAGGCATAGAGGGGGGGAAGGGCGGTTAGGAGCGTGGGGAGAGGTGTAGAGGGGTGGAAGGGCGGTTAGGAGCGTGGGGAGAGGCGTAGAGGGGGGGAAGGGCGGTTAGGAGCGTGGGGAGAGGCGTAGAGGGGGGGAAGGGCAGGAGGGACAGATGGACGGGCAGACGGACGGAGGAGAGAGAGAGAGAGAGAGAGAGAGAGAGAGAGAGAGAGAGAGAGAGAGAGAGAGAGAGAGAGAGAGAGAGAGAGAGAGAGAGAGTGAGAGAGAGAGAGATAGATAGAGAGAGAGAGAGAGAGAGAGAGAGAGAGAGAGAGAGAGATAATAGAACGGCCTATTCCCCCGTTCCATGCCATGTATTCCTCCCTTCCATGCCCTCTATCCCCCCCCACCCCCCTCCCTTCCGAATGCCCCTTCCACCCCGGCAGCTGTCCTCCATGCCAATCCCATCCCTCCCTTCCCCCATTCCCGTCCACTTCCTCCCTCATCCCACTGCCTTCCCCATTCCTCTCACTCCGTTCCCTGCTTCCCAAAGCACACCCTTTGCTCCGCATGCTCAAACCCACCTTGCCTCGTCCGAATTCCCTCCCCAATCAGCGTGCCATCTCCCTTCTCATCCCCAACTCCCCCCTTATCACATCCCTCCCTGCCGCCTATCCCATCCCTCCCCTCCTTCATTCTCCTCCCTTTCTCCAAATCCATTCCCCCTTTCCCCCCATTCAACATGGCAACGCTCCCTCTCTCCCCCCCCCCCCCCCCCCCCCTCATACCCTCGCTGTCCCTCCCTTGCATCTCTTTCTTTCTTCCTGGGTACCTCGCCCACAACCATGGCTGCTCCCGTTCCTAGTCTCACCCCCCCACTCCCATCTCGCCCCCCTGCTCCAGTTCCATTTACTTCGTGAGATCCTTGCTTTAAATAACAAGTGACATGGCAATGACTCGAGGGCCATGAAGGTATCCTAGTCAGCATGCATTGGCTTCGGCAATCCCACCCCACCGAAGGAGGGTGGGAGATATGGCTGGTGTTATTGGAGAATAGATTGGATGGATCCAGCCCAACCAGCACGCGTCTTCTGCTGGACTCCTATCAAACCTCGTCACAAGCACATGCGGCAGCATGGTGGACCGCGCGTTGGTTGGATGTCATCAGATATTCCGGCGTGCATCGTCAGTTCATCCTGCCACGCCTGTTTCTCGTCGAATTTAACACATCGCCCATCAATCAACCCAACCCCTCATTGAGTCGACCCATTAATAGCATGCATACTTACAAGGCTCCTTGTCCAGATTACCTCTCCTTAGGACGATGTACAAGGCCAGCGGTAGGTTAGGATAACCAATAATATACCTTTTACGTCTTCGGAGGCAAGGTAGGGCTTGCAAAGACATAATGGATTCTAATGACACGCTTCTCGATGATGGCAGAGCCCCGCCATTCGTGCGAAAGAGGCTGGCAGCATGGAGCCCCAACCTCTTGTGTGGGGATCCCTTGGCACACATAGATGTGCGACGTTTGCGTCTCACACTCCCTTGCTGATCCTTCGACTGCCAAAGTTGTGCCCAACGTAGATCCGCTGCACCCACCAACTGTATGCCATTCATTCAGGGTCATTGTGTCGATTCTCGAGTAGCGCATCAAGGCACTGCGCCTCCATGTCGACGTGGAGGAACGCGTTGCCGTAAAAACGTACTATACCGACATCCCATGTGTCAGGATGCTGGCGATGGCGGCTTTCGACAGCGGGTTGCCGAGTGAGCGTAGGGATGAAGAGAAGATGGTGTTCCACTGCTCCTCCTAAGCGTGACGGCTCTCCACGCCCTCCATGCGAGGGGTGGATCTTAACAGCATGGCCGACGTCATAGTCCATATGTGTGTAGGCAAACCCTAGTGTTACGCTGTGTTCGATGTCTTAACGCGCCTAACATATACCTGTACACTAGTTGCCATGACACATGTTTCACGCCCACCCCCGCTCACACCCTCCCCTCGCCCCCGGCCGACAGCAGCCCTTGTCGTGGGGAGCAAGTGCGTCTCTCTGTGAAGCCGATAGACGGGCCTCTCCCCACCCGTCTGCAGACGACAGGAGCCCATACACTGCCCTCCCCCTTCTGCAGCTGACAGGAGCCCTGGCAAGGGCCTCCTTCTGAGGGGGAACGTGTGTGCACCCCACGGGGGACACACACTGCCCTCACCACCCCTCTGCAGCTGACAGGAGCACTTGCCAATGCTTCCTGCCAAGGGGGGACGCGTGTGCACCCCAACACTGCCCTCCCCACCCATTTTCAGCCGACAGGAGCAGTTGCCAATGCTTCCTTCCGCGGGGGGGCGTGCGCGCACCTCACGGGGGACACACACTGCCCTCCCCACCCTTCTGCAGTCCACAGGAGCCCTTGCCAGTGCTTCTTGACGAGGGGGAACGCATGTGCACCCCCACACTGCCCTCCCCACCCCTCTGCAGACGACCGAAGCCCTTGCCAATGCTTCCTGCCACGGGGGGACGCGTGTGCTCCCCACGGGGGACACACACTGCCCTCCCCACCCTTCAGCAGCCAACAAGAGCACTTGCAAATGATTCCTGCCAAGAGGGGACACGTGTGCACCCCCACACTGCCCTCCCCACCCCTCTGCAGATGACAGGAGCCCTTGCCAATGCTTCCAGCCAAGGGGGAACGCGTGTGCACCACATGGGGGACACACACTTCGCTCCCCACCCCTCTGCAGCTGACAGTTGCCCTTGTCAGGGCCTCCTACCGAGGGCGAATGCGGAGCACCCCATGGGGCACACACACTGCCCTCCCCAATGCCTGAACATGTGTGGGCCTCAGATGGAGACACACACTGCTTCCCCCGCCTTGCTGCAGCCGACAAGAGCCCATGCAATGGGTTCCTATCAAGGGGACGCATGTGTAGGCTTTAGTTGGCGACACACACTGCTTCCCCCGCCACACAGTGTTTTCCCCGCCTTGATGCAGTCGATAGGAGCCCATGCAACGAGTTCCTGTTGAGGGAAAGCATGTTTGGGCCTCAGATGGTGACACACACTGCTTTCCCCGCCTTGCTGCTGCCGACAGGAGGTCATGCAACAGGTTCATGTCGAGGGGAAGCATGTGTGGGCCACAGTTGGCACACAGTGGATCCATGACGTGCTTGCATGTTGGCTAACGGCCTTGTAAGGACTCGTAGCATGCCAAGCGAAATGATGGCACACGTCCTGTCACCCATAGCATGCTTGCATGTCGACCACCAGCTCACAGAGCCCCCCCCCCCATCCCCTCCCCCCCCGAGCAAGCCCAAGCTCCACACAGGCAGCGCTCCCAAGTGCCAACCATGGCACACAAGATGTGTTGATCACCGGCACATGTGCAACCCAGGTGTGCCTTTAAGAGAGAGTTGTCACCAGTTCAGCAAAAAAAATAAAGGGTGTCCAGCACACGCTGGTCGGCTCCCATATACCCTGAGGGCTGTCATATGCTGACCTGCATGCACGTTGGCTACCCCTCTCTATACGCCTGATGGCTTCCATAGAGGGATTTCCAGGCACGTCGTCACCACCCCCCTCCCTTTTTTTTGTGTGGAGCAGTGGGTCTCCCACGCTGCTCTTTTAGTGTGTGTTTACCAAATTCATCATGCTCAATGTTTTATTTTTGTCCGGGCCCTTTCTCCTTTGTTACATCGCATTCGTGTTGTAATACTATGTTAATGTTTCATCAGGAAGTTATATGTCGGGTGTTTTCATTCTTGTGTCGTGTTTCGTTTCCCTATTGATGACGAGAGAGCGTGATGGCAACGTGGGCTCGGTTTTCTGAGCCTAGCGAGTTGAGGCGCGGGGCTCGGGACTGGGTGCGACGGGTTTCGCCAGGCTCGGGCCAGTCGGGTGCGTCGCAGGGCTTCGTGAGCGACGTGTCAGGTGGGGGTTCTATTGGTTCCCCCTGGATGGGCGTTCGGGGGGGGGGGGGAGTGTGCATGTTTGCGTGTGGATGAGGGCCGCAAGGTTTGCGGCGGTTCTGCACCCAGACTGTTTGCAGAGCAGAAATATGCCATTAGTGGTGAGGAGTAGCCATGTGCAGAAGCATCGTCTGAACGCCTTCAACGAGAGTCCGCATTTAACGTTCCCATTCTGCTGCAACATATATGGACATGTAAGATTGTGCTCAACTCCTCATTCTCCAAGAAACTTGATGAATTGTCTGCCCAAGAATTCGCCACCACGATCGGAGCATAGAGCCTTTAGCGGTGCCTCACAGTGTCGTTCTGCCCACAAAAGCCACTTCTGAAAAACGAGCAATGCATAACTTTTCTGCACGATCAGGTAGATGCAAACGCAGCACGTCTTGCGCTGTTTGAGTAGAAGAAAGTAGCGGGTGCCATCTTTAGCGAGAACTTGGAAGGGCCTGCAGAGATGGACATGCACTACTCCTAGCACTTTCTTCTTCTCGCCCCCTTTTGCAGGAAAGCTATGTCAAGCGAGTTTGCCACCGACGCAAGAAACACAGCCCGACTAATCATCTCATTCTCAGCATGTGCTAGACGAGGATGCCACACATATGTAGAAGAGTATGCGTCACTCGCCAAGGTGTGCAGAGCAACTGCCTTTGCCGTCATTGTATCTCTAGAATCCCTACCGTGCTTCTAGATGGTGTTCTTATGGAAGGTTCCACTCATTTCTAGAACTCTCTTAGGTCATTATTACATGTCCTTTGAGTTCTCGTATGTATAAAAAGGATTGTGGCTTTGCTTGTACTCAGTGATTCAATAATTCAATGCTTTGTTCAAGCTTTCGCTAAATCCCGAACTCGTAACAGCCAGAGCCCTGGTTGAACAAGGTCCGCAAAGTGCTGGAACTTGGAGCGTGGAAATTCTTGGCAAAGTGTGCAGCCATTTCTCATGTAGAGCAGTAGGATAGCACCTTTGACGGAAATGTGTCAAATGCTCCAGCATCGTCGTGTATAGAGGGTAACCAAGTTTATCTTATCCTAAGGATATCAACCCTTCTAGAAATATAATCACATGGGACAATTGGTTTTAATGGATTACGACAAAGCTTACGCCAGTTCTAGAGTGGTAGTACATCCCGAGCCTTATTAGTAATATAAAAACAAAAATATGATACGACATAAGATAATCAAGCAAGGAAAATAGGAAAACAAAGAATATGTTTTTAGGAGCAAAGGAATTAGTATAGAAGAGGAATGAGACTTAGAACAAAATTGAGAAAGCTGGGTGTCATTCCAACCACGGCGGTGTGCACGCACGGGCTCGACCTCATACTTGAATTTTTTTTATGAGGGCAGGTGGCAGCGATGGCTGTTGGCATCTGGTGTGGAGCATGTTTGGATCCTCACAAGGCTTGAGAATCTAGACACGGAATGCGTTATGAACCTTCTTGATGAATGGTAGGCATAGGAGGAAGAATGCTAATGTCAACGTTGCGGGTGTCAAGGAGAATAAATTATCCTACGGCGATGGTATGATCCCTGCGAGTGCAATTATTCAAGCAAGTCTGTCCATCAGTCTGTGGATGATAGGCGGTTGAACATGACGAGTTTGGTGTTGAATAATGATGAGAGTGGCGAACTGTTGTGCTTTCTCGTGTGTGTGTGAGAGTGTACGCTTTACTCTTATCCAGCTTGTGCACGATTTTGAAGGAAAAAAACATCTCAAGGAAACAAATCCACCAGACCTGTCACTTGGAGGGTGCCGGTTGTGTCTTAAAATATCTAAGGCTGCACTGTGTGGTGTAGACAATAGTTTTGCTCTCTTCGAGGTAGCAACTCCATGCTTCGAAGGCGATGACAAATGCAAAAACCTCCTTGTTGTGTATCGGCTTGTTAAGCTATGCTCCATATAGTTTCTTACCGAGATAGGCGATTGGTCTCACATTAAAGTACTCCCACTGCCTGGTCTCTGGAATCGGCTTCGATAATGTAGTCACATTCGGGATCTCGTAAGATAAGTACTAGAGCAAACTTGAGTACTTGCTATAGCTGCACTATGAATTCTTCATGTTTTGTCTCCGATGGTGTTCTTCTTCAAGAGGTTCGTAAGCAGTGCCACAATTTTCATAGATTGTGGCATGAACCGGTTGTAGTAGTTTACGAAGCCTAGGAATTGATGCAACCCCTTCAATTTCTCGGGGGTCTTTCACATACATATGGCTTTAATATTCTTCGAGTTGATGTAAAAGCATTGAGCGCTCACCATGTGGTCGAGAAATTGGACCTTCTTCAAGGCGAAATCACACATGGAATGTTTGGCATAGAGTTTCTTCTACTGCATCAAAGAATTTGGAAGATGCATTGCGTGTCTTTCACGTGCTGCTTCCTGTCGTGCAACTATAAGAGACTGTCGTAAATGCACTCGTTCAGCAAGGGCCACAGAATGTGGTTAATTTCGGCTTGGAAAGTCGCTGGTGTGTTGGTGAGTCCAAACATCATTAGCAAGTACTTGAGTTCAGAATGCAGTTCCGCAGATGGAATTGTCTGCCATTCATATCTGCATCTATCCATGGCAAGACTTGTTTCTTAAAGCTGTCAACCCATAATGCAGGTTTTTGCGTTAAATATGTTAGTAATCTGAAATGCGAAAAAGGGTAAATGGGTTTGAGGACAGACCCACACATAACATTGCAACCCCCTTTGAAACCAAGAACGCTAAAGTCCCCCCCCCCCCACAAACTTTAAATCCAAGCTCCTGCATTTCAAAACTTTTCATCCTAGTCTCGTCGCTGCCCTCGTCAGAGTATGCCAAACCACGCGGATTTGTATCAAAATATGGGGTTGGGTTTTTGCCGAATCCGGCTGTGGAACCTGGCCTTGTCGAGTTACGTTTGACAAACCCTAAGCTGAATGGATAGCTTGCATATACCCGCGCCACTGGGTGCCCCAAAAACAAAATATAAGCCTTGCTCTTTTCTCCCACTCTAGAGTCGCAGCACGCGTTTGCTGGCTGTTACAAATAAGAACCTAATAACACTCTAGGAATAGGGATTCAGGTACACAAGACTTGCTCCACAGGGTCGTCTCTAGGGTCCTTGGATGCCTGGTTAAAACCAGCCCCTATCCAAAGGTCTGTGTTTGTAGAGAGCAAGCCAAGTACAGCCTTCGTCAAAATTCACTAGAGTCGTTCCTCCAGTGCAGCTGTAGTGGATTGATGACGACTTGGTGCGTGTGAAGAAATTCCCTCACGTCAATACAATGATAGGGAAGTTTCATTTATAAAGGATGTATAACAAATGAAACACACATGCATATCTAATCTAACAGTCCATCAATGCAAAACCAAACAGCCCAATTATTAGCTAGATCCACACAGCAAAAGCTTTAAGTGTCATGACACCAGATCGGTGCCACAACAAACCATACTCTCCCACAATTGCACCTGCAAAATCAGTGCATTTCACTTGCACGTAGCACCTGCAGGTTGCACAACGTTTACTCCAAGATATAACCTGCAAGTGCCCATGCATTGCACTTGCGACATTCACCTAGAAACAAATCCAGGAGGTTGTGGGTGTGACCTCTACCTGACTCCTCATCCTTCATCCTCAACTCCCATGTATTCACCTGAAAATGCACCCCCCATGTGTTCCCCCACGATCTCGTCCTCTTCACAATCTTACCCATGCCAATACGAGGCTTAATGTGTACTGGAAAATGCCTAAAGACAAAAAACCGTGCACCTGTAAAAATCCTAAACAACTCCAAAACAACCTCTCATATGACTCTCATATGACTCCCATGTGACTCCCATGCGACTCCGATGTGACTCCCGTGTGACTCCCATGTGACTCCCGTGTGACTCCCATGTGACTCCCGTGTGACTCCCATGTGACTCCCATGTGACTCCTGTGTGACTCCCATGTGACTCCGGTGTGACTCCCATGTGATTCCCGTGTGACTCCTATGTGACTCCCATGGGACTTCCATGGGACTTCCAGGGGGCTTTCGATGGGCCTTCAATGGACCTTCCATAGAGCTTGCCCCTAGCTAATAAATACACACACACATACACACACACACACACACACACACACACACACACACACACACAGCTTTGCCAACCGCCATGTTGTTACCAAGGAAGAGGCGGTATGGTGACGTGCAATAGAGGATATGTCGCACCAACACTGCCCCCCCCACCCCTTCCCTCTCCCCCCCCCCCCCCCCCTTTCCTCTCTCTTTTTGGCTTGCGTATTTTTGTCGCAAGGGCATTTTGCAAGCTCGTCAGCAATTGCACCACTTCGGACCTCGTTCCTTCACCCCCTCACTTGAAGAGTGCATTATGGGCCAAAGGCATCAATACCGTAGGTCCTAGCAGCTTATTAAGCAAGTCCTTGATTCATGGAATGGGGTACTTATCATTGATGGTCTGCTTGTTGAGAGCTCGGTAATTCATGCACATGTGC